TCTACATATTTCAGTCAAGTCCAACTGGAACATTCAAGGGAGACACCTGAGACAACCGAGAACATGCTGGAGAGATCATATTTACTGAATAGGCTGCAAACACAGCAGCTTTCCCCCGAAACCACTGAAAGATGCGGCTGGGGCAACGCACATTCTGCCTTCCCTGTTTAGTCTATTGCCATTACAAACTGGACCTGAACAGGTTACTGAGAATGGATGGATGGTTAGCCGGAGAAGAATTCACCCAAAGGTGAATTGTTTTAAAATTACATGTGTGCTGTCAGGAAACAGCAGGAAATAGTTCTCAAAGTACAGGAAGGAAACGACAATTATACTTAGGAACATAGTTAGCATACTAGCTAGCTAGCAAAAGTCCTTGGATAGAAAGTTAGCAAATTATTTGCTCTGTGGGGTTTGGACTACTTAAATTCCATTTATTGTGAATTCACCAAAAGAAAATTATAAATTATTCCTCTGTCCAACAATTAGGGCTGTCTGTTGTCTGAACTAACAACCCTACTCTTTTGGCTGCCCTTAGTCTATAGAGACTCGTTTGTTTAATTTGCTCTGGTTGTGTTTATCTTCAACTACAGCCTGTGTTCCAGATAAATTAAAAGAAATAGAGCCATGCATAGCAAAGAAATTATTATTCTTATTCTTATACAGTCGCAAAGATTTGCAGCAGTTGTTGTCAGATTGTTGAGTTCACATTTGGTCGACTTTTTCTTCAGTTAATTTCAACCCTGATCATTAATCTAAAAACAGCAAACATTCAACCTATTTACCAGCGGAGAACTGTAGGTGTCAGATGTGTGGCAGAGGTGAGAAATGCTCTGCTTGTGTATATCCAGCCTCATGCAGAACTAGTGTTATAAAACACAACTAACCCTAATCCTCAAGTGAAACTTCTTGTTACTGAGAGGCTACTATACAGCGTTTGATAATGTGATCAAGGGGATTAACGCAGCGTCCACCAACCAAATGGTTTAAATAGATGGATGGAATCCATCTCTTTACCTAAATGCCTCATGTTAAGTGATGCACGAGTCAATCCGTTTAATTGGTTTGCTGTTATGCACTATTATCACATTCTTTGCCATTATTGGTCCAGCAAATCTTTCCATCATGCTGAGAACATTCTAAGACAGTGTGAAGACACTTCTAGAAAGACACAGCAGGCACTTTTGTCACTGACGTAACTTTCTGGAGTTAAATAGTAGATCGAACCATTACAGAACAGTCTCAGCATGGCAGTTGTAAGGGGCTGCTGTGCTGATAAGATGCCTGAGCTGACTCTGACACTAATTGTCAACTTAGTTGACAATTGACCGTTTAAGAAAGAATGGAAAGAGAGGCAGAGTAAGAGAAAGAGAGGGAGCAATGGCATCTGGATGAGATCTGGCACAGAGCATATGCAGCACATGTGGTCTGGTATAATTTACAGTGTTGTCATGGAGGAGCGGGTTATAAGCAACTGATTTGCCTAGCAACATTCACGGGAAGGTGGAAGGGGAAAATGTAGTGCTGGCAGGTAGGAAGAATATTTTAATACTGTGAGACATCAACAGTTTATGTGTTCCATCGGTAGTTCCAGCCTTTTCTGGACCCAACAGATGAATGCCAAATAAAAACTATCTGGGTTTATGATTTTAGGTGATTTACTGTCACTGCTAAAATATTACTGAGCAGAGATGGACGTTAAATTGCAGATTAAACTAACTTTCATTCATATTAACTACAGCACACGATATATGATGAAATTAAACAAGGCCAAAAGTCTCAAGTCGTGCCACAGCGGCCTCTAGAGGCTGCAATGTTTATTATTATACCACACAATGAGAAGGTGTTTGATGGAACAAACTAGATACTAACCATTTTGCTTTCAGTAGTGGTAATATCTTGAAGGTGCTAAAGGGGAGACCAGGAGGTTGTCAGAATCTGAGGAATCTTTAACTCTGACAGCTTGAATGTGCTCAGGAAAACTCGTGGTAATCTGGCAATTACCTTTGATATTAGATGTGTACAAACAAAAGTTTGGCCTGGTGGTGGCACCAGTTGAAAGGTCACCAATAGAATTCATAAGTATGAAAGTTACTTGGAAAAATGTATTTGACAAAATAATTATAACTCAAGGTCCACCTACTCGTGTATATATTTTTGGAGCTCTTGAAATAATCTCATGGTCTTATATCATATCATATATAAACACGTAGTATCACATTACCAGTTCCAGGTTATGTAATGACAGTTGAGCCATCTCCATAACAACTGAGCTAACTACCTGATGAAGACTGTGAGACATAGTTGAATGCAATGGAAAAATCCATTAATATCAACAGACTATTTCTCAGAACCCCAACATTCTGTAGTTTTTAATATACAGTCACAAACTAAAGTATGTTGGATGGTAGGGCTGCAACTAATCATTACTTTCATTATCGATTAAAATGTCAGTCATTGATTAGTTGTTTGGTCTATAAAATGTTAAAAAATGAAAAATGTTGATCATTGTTTCCTAAAGCCCAAGGTGACATCCTCAAATGTCTTGTTTTGTCCACAAATCATATATTCAGTTCACTGTCATACAGGACTAAAGAAACCAGAAAATATTAAAATTTTAGAAGCTGAAATCAGAGAATTTTAATATTTTTTTCTTTAAAAATGACTCAAAAAAGGAATCAATTGTCAAAATAGTTGCAGATTAATTTAAAAGTTGACAACTAATCAGCTAATTGTTACCCCTTTATTGGATGCACTTGGACAACATCATTCTTGAGGTGCAGTTAAGAGTTCTGTGTTGAGTTATGCTCCAGCTATGGTGGCTATTTGCGTATGCTCCATAGCTACAGTGTACAGCTAACGTGCAACTCAAAAACACATCAGGGCTACGGCAGCTACGGAGATACCACTTGAGGACTGTAAGTAGTCAGCCTGGGCTGCTTGTGCTGTCTCCTCAGTAGAGACTGTTGAAAGTAAAAACATGACGCAGTCTTCTCCCTTTTTAGTGACAGAGAATTAAAGAACGTACATACAGCGATTGCACATGGGGTTATCTTGTACAATACATCTGTCTCGTTCTGCGTCAAATATAAATCCAGCTTTAGTCTTTGATATATTGTCATGGCTCAAAGTTGTGGTAAAGGGGACATGTTGATTGATGACTGATTGATGATTGTGCTCCATTAACAAATTCATCACAAATTATCTTGCTGTAGATATCCATACAAAATTGTCTAACAATCTAAATTAGTTGGCAGTTGAAGATGGAGGTATTATGTTTTGAACATCACTGTTGGACAGTCTGACTAACTGAACTATACTGTCATCATTTAAACCTCCCACCAACAGGGTAAAAAGGAAATGTTATTAATGTAGCTAAAAGATGTAGAAACAATTGATATCTAGAATCTCTTTAGGTCTCGTTCCAAGGTTGCATTGTGATGCTCTCAGAGTCAGTCTTGTTATGTACAGGTTGGATATGATCACACATGGTGGCAAATACATTTTTGAAAGCACACTGCTTATCCATTTTCTTTTGCTAGTAGGGTGAGCAACACAATGATAAAACAATATATCTAGATTTGTCATCTTTCATAATGGACTGGAGCAAGAGTGAGAGATTAAGTTTGCTTGTCTGTGCTTTGCTCAATGGGTGAACAACATCTAAAAAGGAAAAATCAATCACTTTTATTTTACATCTATTAGCAACAAATAGTACTCATCTTCTGTCTTATATTAGCTTGCTACCACTTTTTACATATAACATATCAAGCAATAAAGTAGTCCTACACTGATAATACAAAAACTACTAAATTAATTTAACTACTAAAAGTATACAGCTGTTGTTTTCAATACATTTGATCCCCCCCCCCCCCNNCCCCCCCCCAAGAAATGCATGTAAATTCACCAGAAATTTGATTTTGTTACCTTTTCACTAAACAGGAAATTTACTTACTTTATCTGGCTCCCTTTGTAAAACAGTAAGATTTCCAGCACTGATTTTAAACTAGGCAGAAAGATTTAAAAGCCTTTTGTCAGCCTATATAGTTTATCTAAATCTAACATAATCCAGTGATTAATTTATTTTTCTTTATCAGATAATCCATTAGGCCTGACAAGCACACCAGCATTTGGCAATGCCAGGATGCCTGGGAAAAATAGCTTCTTTGGACAGATTTGAAAAGAATTCTTGTAAAGTTTGAAGTGTGAGAATATCAATTTCTGCCTGAGATTTGTCATCATGAAATGTGAAGCACATTGCACACTTGCTCTGGTATCTTGAGTAGTGATGACAACAGGGATACAGCATGTTTTGCTTCATGTTTATTATTGGAAAGGTCTGGCTAGGGCAGTAAATTTAATGCGGTTATGCCCAGAAATGGTGTAATTGTTTTAAGGATTAAGTATTCCCTATCTCGACGTTAATAAAATATCTTTGATAATAATGGGATGAAAACCAAACTGAGATCCTCCTGACCTTGAGGCTTTGAAAGCACATACAAGCACATACTAGACGTGTTGTGTAAGACCAGAATTACACTTTCGCCTAATGTTTGAGAAATCGGAGGCACCAGTTGGTTAAGCAAGAGGTATCAAACACTATGTTCACAAAGCGCCTTGGTGCTCAGTTACACTAAGTGATACTTAAGTGCTGTCACCTTGAATAGATACTAAAGACATACCAACTGTATATCATGGAAAATACCAAATGTATGATACAAAAGGTACATACAGCCATAACCAATCAAAAAAAAAATAATTCTTGTCTCACTGCAAAAAAAAAAATCTGATCTGTGACAAAAACATCTTAACTCAGGCACTCTCAGCTGCAGTAAATAATTTTCTAGTCCTTGGCCAGATACAGTGTCGGTCATGACTAAAATAGACATTCACTCATCTAACAGTTTCAGAGACCTGGGTGAGACTGATATATGGATGAAAAGTATTTGCACACACACTCCTTTATTTGATGCAGGACTGTTGGCTGTTTGGACTCTTACCTCACACGACTGGATGCAATGGATGTGTTGAGGGTCAGGGTACCACTTCATCATCCCTGTACAGACAATGCTCTGGAAAATGAGCACACAAGGACAACAGTTGAGCAACGCAGTCACAGGAAATGGATAACCACTGTGTTTGCCATGGAAAACAATATAACATTCACTCACAAAAAACATTTGATTTTTGAAGGAGTTTTTGTTTGCTTGAGGCTCCAAAGTAAGTCCTAGTTGAGGTTGAAGCATTGATTTGTGAAAATCCATTAAGTAGCGATACTGTAGATGGATAATAGTGCCAATCTCCTCATGGACCACACCTGGGACTTTTCAAATTAAGTTCATGGTCCATGAGTGGATCAGTATGCTTATTAGTATTTTAATAACAAAACAAATTAGACTAATAACAAAACAGTGTAGACTAATCACAGATATGGTACCTTTTTGCCATTGATCTGCTAGCAATTGGCCTCCCTTACCCTGAACTGTTGTATAAAAATGAGCAAGACTACGCCTTGCACTCGCTCTGATTGCAGACCATGCAGATATCCTTTCATGGACATATGCAGTACATTATGACAATTTCAAGCTTTTGCTGCCTTTTGCAGTGTTTGTTTTGCATGAAAACCTTGTGATGGAAGAATAATAATTGTTTTATACAACTTAAGTGGATGTAAAACTCCAAATTTTGTGGTGGAATTTGGGTGAGGCTGTGGTCTCTTTATTTGACCCCATGAATTTACAAGGTGGTTAGCAGATAGCTGATTGACTAACAAATATGGACAGAGAAAGCGGATCCTCCCCTGTGATTTCCTGTGCAGCCTGACCCAGCGAAGGAGACCTGATTCTGAAGTATTTGAGATAACACAATGCCTTGAAATCCCAAGCCTGTGTCAGAGATATGGCGAAGTAACAAGACCTGCCTCCAACTATTTGACCTTGGCAAGGGTGGATTAACTGGCTGGCTGCCTGACTGACCACCCAAAAATAAGACGAAACTGGAGCAGTTTTTGCAACAGCGTTAACGTAGAAGCGATTGCTAAGATATGATATTGGGTAACATGACCCACCTTTAAAGCAAAACAACAGCGCTCCAACTCCGACCTAAGATCTGACATTCCTGCAAGTTTGCTCAGGGTGACTTGTATACACAGTGTGTGTTGGGGATGGGTGTATTTCCTAAAAGGCTTGACGTCAACTGAAACCTTTACTTTTGCTATCTGCCTGCGATTTCCAGAAATTCAGAAACACTTGAATGATACCACACTCACATACACACGTTGTGTGATAGAGTGTGATTAGCTAATCCAGCTGGGAATTTAAAATGGTTTCCTAGAAAACCTTAAAAGATACTGCCTTGCCAATGATTCAGTCAAATGTCTGATATGAAACACATTTGCACATACTGTATTATGATGAATTCAAACATCTCAGCTGCAGTTTGACCACAGGGTTTTAAGGCATTATTAGTTAGCCAAGGAGAGTTTTGAAGTCATTTGATATGATTATTGATTTTAATTTACTACACTCACTGATTTTATTACTTGAACTGGAAAGGTATTGTTTAAAAATGTGAATTTTTGGAATGCTCATATAAGATAATTCCAGTTTTCACTGCATTGTTCTGTAGTCTGTACAGACAATGTGGCAGATCACTTCAGCAGACTCAAGAATACAACACCTGAATTCAGATAAGAGTAATCATTGATCTTTATATAGTAATCATTGGCTCATAATATTTTTTCCACTTTAGTGGAAATTTGAATGTGGTAATGATTCAATACACACCAGTAGCTCTAAACTAACAAAGCACTAACCCTTTGCATCCTTTTAATTGGCGTAGCACTTTTCGCTCATTGCAAAGACCAGACAGCAGTGATTTCAGGTGGCACTAAGTGCTCAAAAAGACGCAAGTGGTCAGAAAAATAAATATTAATTCTGAAGCTAACAGGTAACGTACAAAGTGAGGATGTGTTAATTCTGTCTCACATTTGTATGGCAGCAAAACTTCTATTTTGCTTTGTAAAATAAACTGTAATCAACTTCGCTTCGTGCTTATCAGTAAAGGTGAGTCAGTCTGGAGCAGTAGCTCAGCGCATGGTCCATGTTGTTGTTCAAAAACACAGATGCTTGGTTCATTCTGATGGGTGTTTTTGTGTAAAAATCTCAGCACTGTTTGTTGGTGGATCGACTTTCACTGGTCGCATGGCAGCAAGCAAGCAGCACAACAACTGTTTTACAAAACCTGCCAAGAGTTTCCAAATGGTAGCAAAACCGCAATCCCTAGCGCAGTTGCGGTTATTTAACACAATCTCACATCTCATTTTTCACCAAACCATACTTCATCATGCAAGATGAAACAGCTTAGCAACAAGTGCAACCAGTTCTGCTAGCTGATCAGTAGAGCACCCGTCCTCTAAACTCTGTATTTCATTGAACTGGATTACATGGACATTGATAAGAAGTATATCACTATATTTATATATTTAACACCAGTTTGTGAATAAAACTGTTTTTTGATCAATATGTTTTATTCAAAACTGACTCAGTTAATTAATAAATAGCAGACATTGTGAATTTGATCCAATATCAGCACAATGGTTAAAAAGCCAAAATTACAAGGTTCTGGGGCCGGTTGGCTTACACCTGGTTAAGCCAAGTCAGTGTCGTAGAGAGTTTCACAAAGATTATACAGTTTCTCCTAACTCAACAACTCACAAATAAGAAAAAAAAAAGAAAAATGAAACTAAGGTAACTCAGGTGTCTCACCTGGACTTTGGTGGGTAGCATCCAGTGCTTTAAAGAGTCAGCTGTAGTGCCATTGGGCAGAACCACAGGGTCACGCAGATCCATGTCTAGAGCCACAATGCACGTTGGGTAGCAAACAGCACCTGCAAGGAAAAGGAAGAAAAAAAAAACACAAATCAAATAACACTTACCTCTAAACCTCATTAGCATCTGTTGAATTTATTCATGTTCAAACATTGAGGAAAAAACAGACCACATAACTTCAGACCACGCCATCGTCTGTCATCTGTGGTCTGGACTCTTGGCAACCATCCCTATAGGAGGGCTTCTACTGTTTGAGTATGTGTGTATGTGTGTGTGCTGTGAGTCCGTTTGTTGGTTCAAGTCCTCCTGGAATTTATTAACAAATGTTTCTACCATAATACATACATAATACATACATACATACATAATTCAACTGCAGCTTGACAACCTCTGCATAACATAGTTTTTGTCTGCTTGCCAGCATGTAATGTCATGATTTACGTTTTAGTTTGACGTTGCCAAACTATGATAGCATTTAATGTTCAACATACATGAATTGCATAAATGCAAAGTGCTTAAGCATGCACTGTAGTGATTTAATGTAACTCTGGGCACTCAATTTTAGTAAATGCTTTAAAACTTAATTTGGTACTATAATAAGTTAGTAGAACATATATTTTGCTTATATCCACTGGGTCAGTACAGCAATCTTACAGTAGTAAAAATATCTCAATACAAAGTACCACATTTGTTATTTTAACAGTAGAAAAAGTTTAGATTTATTTTATTTTTTATTTTTTATTTTAGTTTGTGTTAGTTCAATTCCAAACACAAACAAAATATTGGAATGGTGGATTTCTACTCTAAATGCACTCTTTATTACACAAATCACTTTATTATGTATTATTTTTGATAATAGACTAAAATGTGCCTTTCCGCTTCCTCCTTGCCCAGCGGTTAGCCATGTTTACTGGAAAAAGAGTGTGTGGCTCTAATGCAGTGCACTTTAGGGACTAAAGTGATTGGCTTATAGACATCCAGTCAAATGAGATTGTGCATTTGGGTAGAGTCCGGTGACAGTAATCATAGATTTAGACACCCTGGAAAATGATGTCTATTGGAATCGACAGGACATCTGAAAGAGTTAGGGGGCAATAAATTAAGACTGATTTTAAAGATCAGACTGTGTCAGAGATAGTCATAATCTACACTTTAATCTGGATATTTTATATAGTATACACTGGTCAGTGACTCACATCTAAATCTAAGAACACCTGTTCAGTCGAGTAGTGTGTAACAAGACAAGCTAATGACCAGGCAGACTACTGTGTATGTTTTTATTCTGTTGGACACAAAGAAGAGCATATTATCAGCACTGTTTATTTGATGGATTACACACTCTCATCCCTAGAGAAGGCTACACTCACCGACATCCATCCCTTGGTCACAGCTGTACTCTACAGAGTTGAGATCAGCAGGAGGAGAGCATGATCCCTGGAGCTTGGAGCACATGGTGAACTCTGCGGTCCATTCACCATCCTTAGTGCAGCAAATCTCTCTCTGGAATCAAACACAGATACTGAAATTCATTGGGGTCATCAAGAGACTATGCAAGGTCTACACTTCTGCTGCACTGCTGTCTGTCTTTACACAACGAGAAACAGACAGTCAGTCAGTCGGTTATTGTTTTACATTGTTGAGCAGTTATAAGAATAAACAAAGTTCCCTGGAAACAGGCATCGGCAGATGAGTCAATCGTGAAATGAATAAATGAATTTAAACATCCTTCATATGAAAAAGGCTTTAAAAGCTTTTGTCTCAAAATTGTTTTAACACGCATACTAAATGTGGCTTCAATAAAGAGATGGCGCCCAGAAATTCAAAGCATCATTCTCTGGAGACATTATAAAAAAATATTATATTTTACAACTAGTTTGATCATGTCATCGTCCGCACTTGGAAAACTTGGTGGGCACATTTTTTATACATTTACAATGTAGAAGAAGTAAATGAAGCATGAGGAGCTTCATTTACGGTGCATGAGTACTGCTGAATTATCCCCAAAAAAAAGATTCCTCTTGAAGTCTGGAGCAAAAACACAACACAACGAGGTGTCAGTGATGCATGAGCACGGCTAAGACCACAGCTACTGTGCATACAGGTTTTGTGGGGTCTGTTGTTGTTCTGAGAGGAAAGGCGGCAGCGGATCATATCTGACATCAAACAAAATTTCAACCAGTTCTGTAATTCACTGTGATACTTTCTATCATTTATGAACAATAATACAGGCTTAATGCGTTAACCCACTGTAAAAATGGAATCTTAATGAGATACATTTTCACAATAATCCAACTTTTACCGTCTTTAAGACTTTTGCTTCTTTATAACAACATCATGACCACGTTGAATAGCAGCAAGTGTATAGAGGACTCAAGTGTAGAGCTGCAACAATTAGTCAAATAAATCATCAGCTGTAAGCTATTAATTTTATTAGCAACTATTTTGATAAATGATTCACCATTTTGAGTCACTTTTTTAAGAAAAGAATGTCCATGTGTATGACAGTAAACTGAATATCTTTGGGTTGTGGACAAAACAAAATCAATCAACATTTTTCACAATTTTTTGAAATGTTATTTGCCAAACAAACAACAATCTATTAATCAATATAATGATTGGTAGATTAATCGATAATGAAAATAATATTTAGTTGCAGCCCTACTCCCATCGGTCCAACTCATCTCAAATAGATTTGATGGTCACATGACTGTATTGATAATAATGGGACATGAAGTACTTTACATTTTCTGTTGTCTCTGGGCACTTCAGGGTGCAGACGGTGTTATAGTACAGGCCATTGGTGCAGGTATACATGCCCTGGAAGACATCAGGTAAGGCTGGGCAGGATATGGGCTCACAGTTAGTTTCCTCCCACTGCCCCCCCTCCAGGCACTCCAACTTGAAGTACTTCCTAGAGACAACAGGAGCAAATGAATATGCCGCTAAGTGATCAGTCTAAGCAGTCTAGCAAGGTTTTTCACAGTCTGCGGAAGGGAGGGAAGTAACGCTCCAAAGTAAGGCTAAATTTTGGCGATGGAAAAACTGGCAAGGCTATTTTTTAAATATTTTTTTTAATAGCTGAACTCTGACCTCAAGATATCTGAAAATGAGTCTCCCCTTTACAGACATGCCTACTTTATACTAATCCCATGCAGTTTTTTCAATTTGTTTTGCATGCAGTAGGCTATGTGTTATTTTTGCTCAGCGTATTTGAATATTTCTGCATACCATAAACAATACTGGAATTGCGGAAATTAGGTATGACTGGAAAGATTCTTGTGGATTCAATGAGCCCAATTATATTCATGTGTGATTGTTTTGGTCCCCATAGTAGCCATTTAATTTATGTGAGACAATTTTTGTTTTATTGTGATTGCTAGGATAATCACAGCCTCAAGAAACTGCACAACCACAAACAAGAGACCGATGACACTCGCAGGATGGATGGCTTTCCTAGAGAATACAGACAAGAGGATTTCTGAGCAATTTCCAGAACAGAAATGCTTACCAATTAATCATAGAAAAATCCAATTCTTACAGGAATCTCAAAATTTCAAAGGTTTCTGATACCAAATCGCACCATTACATACATTTTTCTATGGTGTTTCTCAAGGTCTTGGTGTCTTGGTATTTTGGAGGGATTTGTGACCATATTTATTCATTTTCAAAAAAAAAAAATCTTAAATTTTGCACCAAATTTGAAAAAACAACATGGGAATGGCCATAATCTACTTCAACCATAATGTTCTACGCCCTCATACTCTCTAATCTTCCAATATTTCAAGAGCGACTAAACAAAACACAATGTTTACAAGAGATTTATGACAACTTGACTTGACACACAGAGAGCTGCATCTCAAATTTATCTTCATGTTCCCAGCTTTGAGATGATGTATACCACTTTTACGTGGCATACTGCTGAACTGCTATCTCCTCCTAAAGATCCCCTGCCCCGCATGAAAAGGCATGAAATGGTTTATTGTAGGGAGGGGTGGCGAGGAAGAGGTTAAATTGCATTTCAAGGAGTTAAAAAAGTTTAAGTTGCAGGCAACAGTGGGCAAAAAACTGGTGTTATGTGGCCAGTACTGTGATGCTGTTTTCCTTTCTATAGGTGGCAGCTAGTGCCCGCTCACTTTTTGGTTGCTGTACATTAGAGGATGTTTCACAGATAATGATCAACCTGACGGATGAGTTTTGGAACATTTCACAGTGAACCCTATTGTGTTGTTTCATTCAGTAATACACAGCAACATAGTGGATGTATTTATTTCGTTATTTTGTTGATGTGTTGAGGTTTATTATAACAAACTCCCTCTAGAACCATATACACCCCTGCTCACCTTCTCTATTGTCCCACTTTACTTTTACTGTTGCAATAACAAAAAACATACTGAGTGCAGAGTTCCCATTCTACAGTAAAAAAAGATCTCCGGTGTGGTGCATGTAGTGTGTAAATGCAACAGTATGTGTTACAATATAAATTTATGTGGGTACATGTGTCAAAGGTAAGAGTAAAAAGCCTGTTTAAAGCTCTTAAATAGCTGCTGCTGTTCACTTTCACATGTTGGACTAATAAAAGCATCAGGGGTTATTAAAAATGTTTACACATATGTTTGAGAAAGCCTAACCCATAAAGATACCCAGCTGCTAATGGATCTTTACATGAAATGGTTTTTCACTGTATCTGGATGGAAATTTAATGTAATACATAACTATAATATGTATATTTTTATTGCTCTTATATAATGGTAAAAGTCAGCTTGTTAGATATTTGATACACTGGATTTTAATTAGGATTCAAAACTGATTCAATACAACGAGGAGTGAAACGTGTAAAGGGAGATAGCTGGTTCCCTGTAAAGCAGGATATAAACTTACCCTAAAGGCTGTGTCTCCTCTCATTAACAGCATGTGAACTGTGTTCAGTAATGAGCAGTTACCCATTGAATACAATTGGCAATGTACTGACGAGGCCCAGTTAGCAGCGGTACATATTTTATTGGACCCTAATGTGAGCTTGTTCCGAAACAGAGTATCCTTTTACAGATGATGAACCGAAAAAATGCCTCTTTAAACTGTACCCCATCGATATTTAAAAACTTTGCCCTTGGGGTTTTGGGTGTTCATGTGATGCATTGTTGTACTGTTGCATAAAATATCTAAATCAAAGATCCTAATTTTATTAAGCAGTGCGTAATGGGAATCTTGTAAAATAAAGGAAAAGAAGGAATTTCCTCCATTACGCAGGGAGGCATGTGTGATAAAACACTGTGTTAACTTTGGTCTGCTGTCTGTGCAGACTTACTAGTATTTAAAGGCACTCTACAACCCACAGTATATGATTAAAGTCAATTGTTCTTGCATTTATTTATGCACAGATATAATGTGCCCAAAATCATTCATCTGATTGATAAGGTGTCAGAACACAGAACCCACTGGAAAGAAAGTAGAGGAGATTTTACAGTATTTGCCATATAATGCTATTAATACATACATATTTCATATGACTGAGCCTAGTATAAATGCCCCTCCAAACCCTGGCAGCTGTGTTTTTTGTCCACTGTTCTGCCAACAGTCCCAAAACACTTACCTCGGTGTCTTCTTTTTAAGGCTCCCTCTTACATAGAAGCCTGGGTTGCATTTGTAACGGCAGACAGAGCCAACATCGTGCCCTGAGGTCAGACAGTCTGCTGTTAGCAGCTTGGCATCGGGTATGTTTGGAACCTCTGGACACTCAATCTTGCAGTAAGCCTCTGGGAAAGACCACAGACCGTCCTCCAAACACACCAACCTGTCGCTGTCACCTGAGGTATGGAGATGGAGGGGAGAGAGACAGAGAGGATTTTAAAGTGTAGTTGGGCAGAGGAAGAATGTTCTGTTTTTCTCTTTCTATATGTATTATTCTAAACTTGTATGGTGTATTGAATTTGTTTTGTGTTGTATCATACTGAAGTTAGCAAGGTTGTTGTGTTTTGTAATGAGAATAATAACATAAACTTTATTTATATAGCACTTTTCTTGATGTTACAAGGTGCCGTACAAAAGGAAAAATAAAAAAACAAACAAGAGATAAAATGAAAACAAGGAACATGAGCACAGAATAAAAACATCATATCAAATATTTCCAAAAGCTTGCACAAAAAGAAGAAGTTTTAAGAAGAGATTTAAAAGAACCAAGAGATGTAGTGTGTCTCAGTTCACTAGGCAGTGAGTTCTGTAGTGTGGAGGCTCTTAGTGCTAGGCTGCTGCTGCATGTATCACCGAGTGTCATTGGCATAAATATGGTAGAGCGCATCATGTTTGTGGATAACCTGGTCAAGAGGCAGCATGTATATAAAGAACAGAAGGGGGGCAAGGCTCATTTGTTTTGTATGGCAACTCACCTGTGTTGAATGACGAGGTTAATGATCATTAGAAATCAGAAAAAGTAACTTCAGGTCAGTTATTTACAGTGAGATTTGACTTCACCTCTAAAGCATTTATTTGTTAAGTGCCTAAACGAACTGCAGAGTTTATACGACTTTTCTTTTACTTTTATTCAGATTATATAACATATGCTGAACTCTGACCACAAACATTTGTGAAAAACTGACTTTCAAACGTTCAGTAATGTCAGTTACACAGCAATATCTATCTGAAGTTTGCAAATATGAGCTCCTACATTAGCCTTTGAGCTAATTAGACACTGAGCTACTGGTCACAACAGCAAGCAATGGTTTATTTAATTGTTTATGAATTCAAGACTGTGTTGTTGCTTCAGTTACATAGCCGTGCTGTAAAAACATACATTCAGAAGAGTTACATGTTCTGCACTACACTAAAACAGCTAAAACACAAAGGAATAGACAGGAGAAGGATACAGTAAGTAGGTCAGCATCATGGATTTATTTCTGTCCCAACAAACATTCTGGTTTTGTTTCATGGCTCTGTCTTGTACAGTTATGAGGAGAAGGAGGCTCCAGCGTTGCCCAAAGCTAATATTTTCTATGCCTGTATGACCCCATATGAAGCATGAGCGTTGGTATGTGTGGAGAATCATAACACCCTGAACCTTTCACAATTTTTATTGGGTCTATAAAATGTAATGAATCTTTAACATGGCATCACATTTTTTATAAGCTATTTAAACATTGGGCTGCTGTTGTGATTATCAAAATCCATTACAGCTGTACAGAATATATTCTTGTGAACTACACAGTGTGTTTTCACTGCTGAGTGATGCATGATGGCCTCCAAACATTGCACCAAACCAAAAGCCACAAATAGAATTATTTCTGCCCAATCTGTATTTAGATCATGAATACACGAGTCTTACTGCTGACTGTACTACGACATTTGAGCGTTCACTGTGGCTTTCCGACCACAAACACAAGTGTGTGGACATCACGCTTGATCCATCTAATCATTTCAAGAAGTATCTACTACATTGCGTAACTTGCATTGCTAAAGAGGGGTAATGTTTTTGCTTTTGTGTGTAACTATGAATTTGTGCGTGTGTGGTGGTTCTCCTAATTATGGGTGCCACGGGCAATATTTGTTCTGACTCGTTATGGTGTAACGGTTAATGGTCAAAAACATTGTGGACATCTGAGTAGAGAGAAATTGTGCTCTGTGTGTAAAGGGGACAGGAATATTCCATGTAAAGGTTTCTATCAGTGTTCATCCTGAATTTCAAAAAGTGTAATCCACAATAACATTTTAAAGGGCATAAAGCGGCAAAGACAATCACTGAGGAACAAGCCTCATTGAGAGGAGACATGGCTGTGATTTTGTAAATGGCATTTCCACTGTGATTTTATTGCAACGCTGTAGATCCTACTTAGTGTAGTTCCTCTTGTCTTAGCTGTTTTTCAGACTAATTAGTTTTAAATAAACACTGTCTGTAACTACAACAAGATGAGTCCGGTTAAAATCAGGCCTCCAATTCTAAACCGTAATTGAGTAAAATCGAGGTTTAATGTCCATTTCATTTTATGGACTGCAGCTAGTGACAGCATCTTGCTTTGGTTTGTCTGTTCACTAGGCCAAGCTGTAACTGTCAGAAGGTCCCTGCACAGAACTTTAATTATTGATTGAAGTTGACCTATATCATTCAGTAATGTGGGTAATGATGAGAAAGTATCAAATGAGGTTCTTCACACCCTAAATGGCTCCGTTGTCAGTTTGATTGAAACTCATTGAATGTTGGTTAATCTTATTGAAAGTAATAATAGTAATTAATAAATAATATTTTTTTTGAAAATTCAGAAAATTAGCTTTGTCTTTGTATGGTTAGCCTGATAGTGGTGCTATGAAGTATGACCATGTATCAGTTATTTGTCATCCACTGATGTCTAACAAACAATATGCTAACATTAGACAAGACAAGACTAGAAATAATGGACTAGAATTGAACCGAATCATCAAATCCACGACTTACCTTGTAGTATAGCTGGTGATCCACAGGTGAAGGAGCATTGTTTGCCAAAGGTGGTTCCCCAGGGACAACTGAATATGGCGTGGTAAACGTGAGACTGATCAGGCAGGCCGCAGTCTACAGGCTGACAGCTAACTACACGATCCCATGAACCATGGAAGCACTCCAGATGTGTTTCTCTCTGGATGAATAGAGAGAATATAATAATAAGAGTGACAGAGAAAGAGACAAAAGCAGGGGGATTTTGCTGTATGGCACGAAAAAAGTACAAATTCTTCAATTAAAAAAGTCTTTTATAGTTAACTATTAAAGATATAACCACAAATTACAAAAAATGTCAAACTGAATTGTAATATCGCAAAATTGCTCCTAATTGCATCTGAGGAATTACATGATATCAAGCCAGGACCTTCAATCTAATAACATATCAAGAGGCAGATTCCCATCTCTGTATTCAAGCCTTTGCATCAACCCTTTGTAGAAAACTTTTTAGGTGTGATTTTGTTGATTTGTGCCCCATTATACATTGGAGTTTATACCTTTACCCATATGATTCCTAAAATTCTGTCTGCATTATGGAGACAGTTTTTTGGATATCTCTGGCCTGCAGTGATATCTGTGAAACTGAGCACATTAGACATAAAATCTGCTTGGTTTCCCCTCATCATTCATAGTAGACGTAATCGAGTTACCCCAGGTTTTGGAGGCAAAACAGAATGCAACTACAAATGTTCAGTGAGTAAAAGAAAACAAATTGTTACAAATAGTGGAACAAATGATTGTATGATTAAGCTTTTTGGAAGGAAATACTGCAAAATCTTGGTGCTGCCCCCCCTACATCTCTGTTCTATCTCTCATACTTTTGTATTAATGGATAAATGGAGGGTGTTATTTTACAGTGCAACACATAATACTGTATTCAGCGTACCTGATGGGGCAGATTCCCCCTGCCGTTGATGACGGTAATACTGAAACCACGGTGACACTGAACGGTGCAGCGAGAGGTCTCTCCTCCTCCTGTACACCTACAGAGACACACTGATATATAGATAGTTCTTTTGTTTGTTGCTTCGGCTCTCTGATTGGTCAGTGTTTCCTTCCAAAGGGCCTACCTGACAGAGGCGTGCTCTAACTGCGGAGGATTGCAGCTGTCCATCTGACACGGCTGCCGCAAACAGCTGTTGCAGGGGTGGAGGGAGGAAAGGAGAGGGGAGAAGGAGAGGGATGAGAGGCAGAGAGAGACAGTGCAAGCAGCTAGGAGGCCTAAACTGATCGCTATTCCCGGGTAAGCAAATTCAATCAGACTAAAAAGGAATACTCAAAGGTTTTGGGAGGCTGTCATTTTGGGAATTTACCGGTCACGGGTTGAGTTCAGAAAAAAAACGCATGCCGTTGTGTGGATCTTACGAATGCTCCAAGATTTAATATTTATCCTTTAAACATGCTGAAACAACTAAAAAATAATCTTTTCCAGTTCATATAATGTTTCTCTCCTACTAAAGTGTAGTTCATATTAAAGGGGAACTCCACTGATTACACGCATCAAAATCTGTTTTCAGGTGTTGGGGTCTTTTGAGTTACCTCAAGTGATGTCACTTGAGTCAGTGTCAGTTGGGGCTGAAGACTACAACTTTGAAAATTAAAAAATCCAGATCTCTGTACCCCACTGTTAGCTAAGCACTAGCATAACACATCCATAACTCTGACTGACTCTTTTTTTTTTCAAGCACTGTGGTGAAAGCATGCGTGTGTGTGTGTTAAGTAGGTAGTTGTGGGAGAGCCCACCCTCTGATGCGCACCCGGTCAGGGCGAAGGTGCTGAAGTGGCAGGAGGTCCTCAGCGCCACACCTCCCACTGCCACAGACGGGGAGGAGAAGAGGAGAATAACAGAGGCCGTGATGAAGAAGGGTTGAGAGAGGTCATGGGTCACATTCACCACCAACGGGTTCCGATGGCACGAGAGGTCATGTGTACCTGAGTAGATAGGAGGGTTTCAAGTGGTTTGTCTTTAGCATGATCTTACTTTGCTTTAAAAACAGTGAAATATAGAGCAATAAAATAAAAAGTACCTAGTGAGTGGTTCTTGCCAGTAGTGTCAGACAGGAGGATGGTGGCTGTCCTCCGACACTGCTCCCCAGACCACGACCCATCTGAAGCCAGGTACACCATCACGGAGGCTGCCACTCCAGGATGGACAAATCCCACCTGGATAAACAACAAACGCGGCAATCATTTCAAACAAGGAAAACACAAAGAAAAAAAGATCTGATGCTATGGAAATACATTCTGACTTGTCATAGCAAGAGTAGTAGAGAAAAAGTACCATGTGAGAATAGAATGTTGGCTAGAGTTGATTTATACTATGAATTAAAATGTATTTGCTCTACTGTCAGCTTGCCATCAAACTGACGTTAAATAGAGAGTACTGTGCTGTGTGGGTTGGATTCCTGGCCCAGCCTGGTTGTGCTTTCTAGTAAACATAATAGTTCATCATTTTGTCTTTGTTTCTGCATTAGCAACTCCCTGGTAAGTCACCTGCACAGTGAAGGGTGGAACGGGGAGGACAGTGTGAAGCTCCGTGTGGAGCTACTTGTTGCAGGTGTAAAGCAGCTGATAATAATAGTACGTGTCTGTAGTCCTCCCCCGGAGTTAGCAGTGACAAGAATTGATCATTCTCAATTGGAAAAAAATTAATTAAAAAAACAGGGAATTCCTCGTAAATACAAACAAACATTTTAAAAAACAAACATGCCAGATATAGGCAGGCTGTTACCATAGGAAGAGCAGGAGGTGGGTGCTACCATGTCCTAATTAATGCACGCGCTTGTGCACTATGCTGCAAGTGTGGTAACTGAATGACATCCAGTGTAACTGCTGTGATTCTGACCTCTGTTCTCTGTGACGTCCACCCCTACCTTTCACAGCCACCTGTCAAGCCTACAGACTGTGAGTGTCTCATGCTCAAAAGATAGTGTGTCACTTTAAAGAAATGTGAAAGGGCTTCCAGATAAAGGAGTAGAACTGTTAAATGAGACGGACGCCTTTTAGAGTGCTGGCAGAGATGGATATGATAGGATGGCTGAGGAACGCTTTTCAGATAGAGCGAGACTAGATATTCAAGGCGAGGGGAGGCCTTTCAGAGACAGAAAAAACACTTCAAGGAAAAAGAAGTGTTTCAGGGAGAGCTTGCAGATATGGGTGTTATCACAAAGGCTTTTCAGGCGGTGAAAGAGTCTTTAGGGATAAGGCGGCCTTCCAGAGAGCTTGCAGAGATGTGCCTGATAAAGAGGGCATCCGTAAAAGCGGGGGATGGAAAGATGAGTCATTCAACAAAGAATTGGAAATGATGAGAGAAAGAGAAAAAAATGAATGAGTGTGTGCAAGGAAGGAAAGAGACAGCATCATGACTGTAAAGGACCCTATAATTCAGAGCATGATGGACAAGGTTGTGAAGCTATCAGTCAAATCAACAGCTAGCCTACGCTTAGTCTGGACCTGCAGAGTTGATTGTGGGAACTGTGGCTGTGGAAAGATTAAATAAGACAACGCTACTAAATATGAGAACCAGACACAGGTCCTGGAATGGAAAGACTGGTCCAAATGCAGTGCAGTACTCAAAGCAGGACATCTACGTGAAGCACTGTTGGCTGGAGAGTGCAAAAATAAGCCAATCAGGCTTATGAATCATTTAAACTGCAGCAGCAACTACTGACAACAAATACAAATGTCAGTGTTTATCATTGCTAATCACAAATAAATAATTAGTTAATGATATATAATGTTTGAGAATTTTTTTTAAATGATCAAGAACGTTCTGTATTTTCTGGAGCTATAATACATTCTAATTATAAATTATGTATTCATCATGACTAAGAGATCTATTTATGATTACAAAATTATTATTATTCCTTCAGATGCCAGTATTTGAATAACTTGTCAACCTTTTAAGTATTTAATTATGAATGATGAGTTAATTATATAACACTTGGTCTTCCACTATTAGTAAACTGGTAATGATCAGTACGCACGGGGTAAAGAAATAAAACGTAAACAATGAATAAGTGCAGAGTTAGTCATGATTTGGTAATCATCTACACATCATTAGTACCCATAATTCACAGCTGACCTGGAAAATGAGTAATTATAGTAACCGATGCAGTGTATGAATAATGCAATTGTAAGAAAGTTAGGAATGTGTTTGTGCGTGGAGGTTTGAGCCAGCGGTCTGTGTGAGAGGCCTTTCAACCCCATTTAAAAGTATTGGAAAGTGCTGGAAGCTGTTGAAGACAATGTAGCCACCCACAGGCATTCCTGTGGGTGGCTACATAGGAAAACAGATACAATATGTGCATGCACACACAAATGCACACCTTCAGCCAAAATGAATGTTCAAGGTCATTTGTGTGGGACTGGGCGGTGCATGGGAACCAAGCGTCGGTGGGCAGCTTCTCACTCATCTCCAGGTGCTGGTACCTGCAGAGCTGCACACAAAAAAGGGCACATGTTAATTATAGAATAAATAATTATTTGATAATTAAGTAATTTAGTGCTTAATAATAACCGTAATCTTAAAAAGACAGGTGTGTAGGATTTAGTGCCATCTAGTGGTCTAGTTGCAGATTACAACTCCCTCACCTCACCCTCCCATTCCAAGCATGTAGGAGAAACTATGGTGGCCTTGAAACTTCAACATGGTGGTCTTATTTTCACTCCTGAAAACAGATCCTCCCAAATTTGATTGGTAACCAGTCTTTAGCTGCTAATTTGTGGTTTGGTCCCATATTTCACTTTATGGTGGAACAACCGGAATCATATAATCTGAATTACATTTTTATTGCTAATTTCATACATTCTATTTGACTATTTTGTGTCTCGAGAATAGCCCATATTCTCTAGCAGTGAAGCATATGACAGGTCATGCCGACTTTATTCATGACAGATTTGTTTATTGCACCCTTATTCAGACGCTGCAGCGTGAAAAATCCCATGAGGTTTGCCAGTTCTAAGATGTTTGGTCCAGTGTGTCTGACAGCAATAAAAGTGACTTAAATCATGTACTTTGCCCATCTGAGCAGAACATCTTTTTTTTTAATCCTTCATTTGTATGTGATCTACTGTGTAAAGGACTGAGGCTAATGTGAACATCTCTAAAACTGTGACATAATTTAGAAGCAGTGATGGACCTGCGAGGCCTCGTGTGATTGCAGACATTTTATGGGAGATGTCAGAGCTGGAAAATGATAGATGCATTTTGTACTCAAGTTGTAAACAGGAAGAGGGGAGCCATGATGTATTCAAAGTTGGTTTGCTGTCATAGAAAGCTCTGCCAAAATGTCCCCCCAAGTTATTTCCTTAGCCCTTTCTCTTCAGGCTTGTCCTTACCAGCCGCTGCTCAGATGTGTCACTGTGGCCTGAAGGGATTTGTTAGATAGACAGATAGATAGATAGAATAGACTTTATTGTACCCAATGGTAAATTTGTCTTGGGCACAGTGCTACAATCTGTTGCCTCACAAAAGCAAACTGAAACATTAAAAAAAAAGACACATTTGACTATACATTTAACGCTGACAATATAGAAGTTACCCTTTGTTAACCCTTTTTCTTCACATTTTTTTGTCTTGACTGTAAAAACCAGGCTCTTCTCTAATATAAAGGCAGAGAGAGCAATCGAGAAAGAACTTGAGGTAGCAAAAAGAGAGTGAAGGGTGAAGAGAGACAAAGAAACTGAAACCTGAAAGTTAACTGAGGAATATTGCGACTTGTGCTGCGTAAAGGGAACTAAAACTGTTTGTAAAACTGCAGATTTGAAGAAATATTCATTTGAAAGCATAGAATGAGGAAATCTAGCTTCTAGACACCAGTGGTAGCACTGAAAACAATGCTGCTAAGCAAAACTACAGTCAGTAAGTGAGCAAGAAATGATGCTCCATCCTGAATTTTACATGGGTTGTGTAGATCTTAATGGAATTTACTGGAGCTGCACGCCTTTAGAAGTTGTGTTTTTGTTATTTTATACGCACCTGAGACTAATGTGAATGCAGCAGCCAAAATGTCAAGCTGACTACCAAGACAAAAAAAAGTAGAGATAAATGCATCTTTCAAGCCTGTTGAGACGACCAGGTTGTTTAGACATGCAGCAGCTGCTAACATTGTTTATTGTCATCTGGAAGTCTTTTATGTGCTTTGTGGTTTATACTTCGTACCTTGGTAAGGGACGGTTCCCCGGTGGCGGCTTGGGCGGGACAGTGGTTGGGGTCCTGGTGAGAAGCAGTGGCGGTGGATGCCCACTGGTCCGTGTAGCCCAGAGGCGTGAAGTAACCACAGTCCCGAACACTGGAGCCCCGCTCAAACTCCTCACACACACCGTCACCGTCAAAAACATAACACTGACTAGGTTCACCTTGGGAGATGGAGAGGAGAATGAAAGAAGAGGATTTATGAAAGAATATAAAGCCTGGTTTCTTAATCTGGCAGGGTATACACTCATCCCCCACTGTTAGACTCCCATCCAAATCTATTTGTCAGTGAACCAAATCTGAGCAAATCTATTTTGTATTTTCGTTGGCCACTTTTAATGTTAGCCACGTCAACTCAACCATATCTGACTCTCTGTGCTGTCAACACGCTGTAAATTATGCTAAGAGATGAACTTTGACTTCAATTAATTATTGAAGATCACAATAATTTCATCATGCTAATAGGCAGGGAGAAAACCTAATATGTGACTTGGCCAGTTAGTGTAATCCCAAGAGCACCTCAACGGGCCATGGGTATCTATAAGTCACCAAGTAACAACAGCAGCATTGTGTGTTACAAAGAACTGTCAAGAGTTCTTCCAAGTCTAGTACAAAACTAAAATACAGACAGGAAGATATTGCTTTAGCCTATTATTGTATCTGCTAATAAATTTAGAATTTTGTTTTTCATAAACTCAACTTTTATCAGCTCTCAAAAATTCAATAACATTAAGCCAGGGGAAAATAAACCAAAGTGAGTGAACACATTTCCATGGAGTTGAAAGTAGCACCAGAGTAATAACACTTAACGATGCAACATTATGCACTTTTTGTAATGGTATTTTGTCATTAATGGACAGTTGACTGTAGAGAGTGACAGTCAGAGATGTTTCTGCATGACTCAATTCATGTGCACAGATAATATTCTGGTGAAAAAAACATTTTTCCACTGAATTAGACAAATATTTCTGATCAACTTTTAACGCTGTTCGTTTTTGATATGAAAATATTTGAATCTTATGTAATTTAGACTTAAATATGTTTTTATTCTTGTGAATATCTGTTTTTTACAGTTTGGAAGTCAATCCTGGTACAATTTGCAACTTACACTGAGAATGGACTTTACATTGAAGTAGGAGGCATCTTGTGTTGGGGAAATAGCTAAATGTGCATGTTCATAGATTCTAGAATTTGTTAACTAGAAAAGGGGACATGTTATCAGAGACAGTGTGTTGAAAAGAGCATTTGAAAATGACCAACCTGACGTTAGACTGAACTTTTTATTTGTTTTGGTGTTAAATATATAATAAACT